GCAGCTCGGCGTGGCACCCCCTCCTCTCTCTCCGCCACCTGCTCACCGGCCCTGCCCCGCGCGGCCGGCCACCCGCTCTCACCCGAAGGTTCCCTTTGGTCCGCAGGTTGTTCTTCCCGCCCATGGTCGCGATCTCCGCCACACTAAGCCCGCAGCCCCCGGGTTGACACAGCCGGGCCACCACTTCCGGCCCTGCCTCCGGAAGCGGTCACAGAACAACTTCCCGGCCCTCCCCTTCCGGCGCCCACCCCGGTCTTCCTGCCGCCCCACTTCTGCTCCCGCCTCCCGCCTCCCGCCGCGGCCTTGACTACCTTCCGCATCACCTCACAATTAGAGCCACGTCTGCCTGAGTGACGTCACCCGTGTCCAATAGGAAGCCGAGCATGGGCCCACAGTGCTGACTCTCCGCTTCCTCAGCGGCAGGAGGCGAGATTGGTTCCGGGGGAGGGGAGGTTGGCCGTGTTCTCCCACCCACAAGGGTGGCAGTAGGACACTATCCACTGAGCAAAACTGCCTAGGGCAGTGTGAGATTTTTGAAATGTGCAATCATCCATCATCTGGGTGTTTGTTAGAAACGCAGGCTATTAAATCACTTCCTATCTCTCTAAAAATCAATAAAAACATACTTAAAAAATACTATTGTTTGTATAGGAATTACTTTTATAAATAAAAGTAGACATGTAGCCAATGTTTTCTGCTCACACTGTTTTCTATAGATTTTTAACTTTTAATCATAATTTGATTTGGCATTAATAGTTTCTTTTAAGGATAACACTTTCTTCATAGATGATTCTAGTTCCAGACATATTACTGAAATAATACATAGAAAAATTGTCATTATGGAATAAATATACATATTGAACAGTTTTACATTTCAGGATCTTTATATCAAATATATATTCACTTTTGAAGTCTAAGGAAGCCATATTGCTCTAACATTTAACTAGCTTCTTACAGCTTTTATTGTGTCTCTTACATTAATGTAGGTAGGACCATCTAACTTGCTGTTTTCTTTTTTGCTACTACTCTCACCCATTTTCAAAGGAATTTACTAATCATGAGGTTGGAACATGTGTACTTTCTTGGTTACTCTGTCAATAATCCAATGTCTAAATTTGACAGGTTTGTCTCAAGGAGAAAACGAATATATTATTATATTCTATGTGTTTTTTGTTACACTTGAGATCTGTATATTTGTACATAGCAGTGTGTTTTTTCTTAAAACAATGTACAGCCTGGCTGGTGTGGCTCAGTGGTTGAGCGTCGATCTCTGATCCAGGAGGTCATGGCTCAATTCTGGTCAGGGCACATGCCTGGGTTTCTGGCTTGATCCCCAGTGTGGGGCGTGCAGGAGGCAGCCAATAAATGATTCTCTCTCATTACTAATGTTTCTATCTCTCCCTCTCCTTTCCTCTCTGAAATCAATAAAAACATTTTTTAAAAAGAGATTGAGCTCAGTTCATGCCTTACCCTTCTGTGAGGTGAACTCAGGAACAGAGCATTAAGTATACACAAATATACATGAGCTGCAAACGCTACTTAAGAAATACTTCACGTATTTGTGTATCAAATGGTTGGGGCAGATTAAACCTTTGCGGTCCAGTTTTATTTTTGGAATTCAAACAGTCTGGTCCAAAGTAATTGACGGGATTGAATGTTGAACTGGTTTGCGGTGTCGACCTCAGCCTCGACGTTGGACCTGCTCTTAGCGCCTGGTCTGTCGAGTCAGCCTCCACGTTGGACCGAAAAGGGTTAAAAACTAAAGCTTTCAAAAATTTATTTGGCAAAATAGCTTTCCACTGCTAGTAAGTGGCACAGAAATATAAATAAGATGGTTTTTATTTCATAACTAGAAGCCCACGTAGGGTCCCTAGGCCTGACTGGCGATCAGGGCCAGCTGGGGCCTTCCTTCATTCCACGCCACCCCCTGGTGGTCAGCGCACATCATAGCAAGTGATCCTAACTCCTGGTCTTTTATATTAGGCTTTTATATAGATAGATAAGCTCTCTACAGCGAGGCAGGAGCTGGTGCTGGATCAGCAGCTCACCACAGGCGCTGGCATCTCTGTGGTTCTCCTGGCCCTTCCTGCCCTCGTGGATGAAGGGGCTACTGCAGCTCCAACCATCAGCTTTGCTGTTGCAGCAAAAAGAGGGCTAAGAGGTGCTCTTGCTGTGTCAATCATATTAACCAGGAAAGCAAAAGTTTTACCAGGCAACCCATAGCCAAAGCTCTATCCCCAGGCCACCTGAGCTTCAAGAGAGGCTGGGAGAGCTCATGGAGGCAGGTAAAGGGCAGGGGTTAGAGAACGGGTGGCAAGTTGGACTACCAATATTATCTAACTCAAGTCAAATTAATTTCTCTTTCAAAATGGGTAGATATGCCAAGGTATTCCTGTCAGTAATTTTAAGATTATAAATAAGGCCTCAGTTCTGCTTTCAGTCAGGACAATTTTTAACAGATGCACTTGAGCTACGCTACTTTTTCTCTTCTTTTACCCCTAACATTTTAGAACGGACTGAAGGAAAATTACTGAATCTTTCAAGAAAGAATGGGTAAAAACCCACTCTTGACAACAGTGACAAAATACTTTCAGTGACTCCTTTGCTCAGCTACTGTCCTTCCACACCAAAGAACATCTGGAAAACATCCCCACATCCATTGGCATTTAAAAATTGATACAGCTGACCAAAGTCCATGTGGTTTCCTCTGGCTCCACTAACACTGAACATTTTTTCTTCAAAAACTGAAAATTTTCTCCATCTTTCCATTTCATTTGTACCATCCAAAGGAATGTCTTCTCGATGGCGAATCAAAATTCTCTTCCAGTTTAACTTTTTGAGTCTGAAAAGAAATTTTCAAAGTAGAAAATTTGAAACTTGTGTTGTGCATTCAAGAACACTGAAAACATTACTTTCCTAGAAGGGTAGAAATCTATTTTATAATCTCAGGGATTCATTTTAATCAAATGTGATTCTGGTCATAATCCTGTCCCCAAAAGTTATTTATTGCATTATCGCTGATACAGAAAGTACTAATTCTCAAACTCCCAAAAGGGACACCTCAGATACTCATTTAGGAAACCAGTGGAGAAGTGTGGGATTAGAAACTCCCATGCCTCACAGGGAATACACAGCTTATGATGAGGAAGAGTCAGATCCATGGACAGGGAGGGCCTTGATGCAACATCTCTTTACAGAACCCTCCCATGTGCACTGTGTCTGATGAGCGAAGTGATGTGACCACGTGTGAGTTCTACTTTGTCCAATGACTTGAGACTGAATTCCCAAAGGCACCACCCAGGGAAATACTTATTTTACATCTCCAGGATCTATCGAGAACGGAGATGATTGGCACGGCACACAGAGTTTGTGAGAGTGCACCCACCTTGACCAGAATTCCTCACAAGCACCGTGAGGGCCTTCCACACAGACGATGCCTGGCTTCCCAGGCATGCTAAACCCAGACAGGGAAAGCTCCTTCGCCCACTGCAGAATGTCCCTTCGTTTGCATTTGTTGTAGATGTGATGGCTGTAGATCCAGAGTCTCGTGAGAATGACATGGACAGGCTGGACTGTACTTTCTGGAAGGGGGGGAGGGGCGGGGTCTCTGCTGACATAGCCAGAGGCGTGTTCTCTAACCCAGTCGGTGGCATTCAGTATACAGACGTCTCCGAGGCAATGCCTTTGCAGGTATGTGGTCAGATCTGTGTTCAGCTGAGTCTGCTGGGATCTACTTAATAATACTGACCTGGTAGGAAAGATATGGGATAAAACATTAAATCAATTTTCTTGGGACAGAAAACAAACTCAAGAACTGCTATTATTCTCCGATTAATTTTGACCTTAAAAGCTAGCCAGTTCCTGTAACACACCTGACAGTGATTTCAGGCAGAACTGCAGGGTATTCAAAGGGCAGAACACAGGCCAGAGAAAACACCACCTGATCAAAAAGAGAAGGAAACTGCCCTCAGCATTCAGTCTCGATGTGTTCCAATTCTCCCAAAAGCAAAGCTGAATTACCACTGTGTCCGCAGACATGTCCAGGTGCATGTTGATAGTAAAGTAAACCTTTGAAGATCGGCCCTCCATTGTCCCCTTTTCAATGCAATCTTTCAGTTCTGCTACAGCAAGCTGGTCATTCACTGTGAGCTCATTCTCGCCAGGGAACATGCTGGCCAGCAGGTCTAACTCAGAGAGCTGGGCCTCAGCCTGTTCAATCTCAACCATTTCTGGGTATCTGTAAGTTTCTAAGGAGGTAAGAATAAGAGACAATTAACACCTATGATGTTAGGATTAAGGGGAATTATTAAGAAAGTATTTGATTTCTTCAGAAAATGTGAAATTTAATCAGAGTATTGTTCCCCATTATTCTATTTTGTAATGTCCTGTAATATGCATGTAATACATGTAATATGTTAATATGGAACCATCCAGTGAGAACAATAAACTCTAATTATAACCACACACCAATTCCTACATATCCAGATAGCTGATCTGGCATCTTGATCTACTTTATAAAAGTAACTGAATAATGTAATCAAAACCCACATCAATGATACAGCCAGGAAAGAGGCTAACACAGATTACCTTGGAAACCTAGAATGAACACAGTGAGTAAGCAGAGCTAATTCTATGGATGGTTAATTTTTTCTTAATATTAAGTATATTATTTTTAAAAGCAGGAGACTGGGAAAAGGGAAAATAAAGGCTGCTAATTATTCCACAGCTCAAGTAACCCCTGTCAGCATTAAAAAAGTACAAGGTTGGAAAATTCGAATAGTAAAGAAAAAAACTAAGATACAGTTTCCTGCTGGTAGTCTCTTCCCTACCTACCTAAGTCCCCGGTCCAAGGCAGAGTACTTGGTCTTTCACATCCAAAAAAACGTTCGTATTAACATAAATGGAAACTACATGCTGGTATAACATGTAAATACATGTAGCGTGAGCCACATAAACATAATCACAATGTACCCAAAGGGATGACACAAACATCGCCCCCCTCTTCCCACCCCTCTGACCCCTCTTCCTTGGAGATCCAGTCACTGCCAGTATCTGGCGATCTAGCTCATTCTCGCGAGGGGCTGTCGTAGTGAATCAGGTAGACATCATATTTGCATTCTTTACCTTGGACATGGGGTTGTTCACACATTTTTGCTATTATGAACAATTCTGTAATAGAGGTTCTTTTCATATATACAGTTTGATGAGCAATACACACAAACGCGCGCGCGCACACACGTATATATCGTTTGGTGACTACATATTCAAGGATAAGTTTGCAGAGATGGCTTGTTGGAACAACAAGTTCAACATTTAAAATCTGGGTAGATATTACCAAGTTGTCTTCCAGAAAGTTGCCATACAAAAGTTTAAATTTTTTACATAGTTCCCTCTTTTAAAAGTAATTATGAATACATTGTCTTGTGTGTGCGCGCATGCACACGTGTGTGTGTGTGTGTGTGTGTGTGTGTGTGTGACATTCAAACAGAGTTTTAGAGACATACAGGACTATAACAAACCTAACAACATTCATGTCATCCGAGTCCCAGAGGGAGAGGAGAAAGAAGGCAGGGCTGAAAGAGTATGTGAAGAAATAGTGGCTGAAAACTTCCCAAATATGTCAAAAGGCATAAATGAATTCAAGAAGCTGAACATATCTCAAGCAAGACAAACCCACAAAAATCCATATCAAGACACATCAAACATCTGAAAACTAAAGACAAAGAAGAAAACCTTGAAAGCAACAAAAGATAAATGAGGAAAAGTAATTCATGTAAGAAAGTATTTCTCATCAGAAACTGTAGAGGCCTTGAGAAACCAAGATGGCGGCATAGTTTAACGCTGGAGATTGCTGCCTCGAACAACCAATTCAAATTACACCTAAAAGACGGAACGGACATCATCCAGAACCACAGGAAGGCTGGCTGAGTGGAAATTCTACAACTAGGAGGAAAGAGAATATCATACCCAGACTCAGAGGAGGCGCAGT